ACGCGGTTTCGCAGTGGCTACTTGCCTGCTTCAAAGATCTAAAAAACCTACATTATGCAATAAATAGATCGTACATATCTTATATTGAACGCGTTTACAAGTGACGATCTTCCTCGAAGAGAGGAAGACGTCGCTGTATCAATAGTTATCGCGCTCACGTGTACATGTATGCAAGCGTAACTTCAAAGTAAATACGACCTTTCGCAATGGGATTTTATTTCCTTAAGAGGATCCGAAACTTCCGATTACAGCCTGGACGTATGCATGCGCCGTGACCCGTTCAATCGATCGTCGTGAAATTTTTATGAAGTAACAAATCCGCTGCTGCATGCGCAACTTTAAAGTTTCAGGATTGCTGTCGTAAATCACCTTAAAGTGGCGTGTTAAATGCATAAGAAGCGAAATATATAAAGCAGCGCGAAAATACTTTCTATAATTTAATCGTGTTTATATTATATACGCGTTGATACGCATATTTCAGTAATTTACGATATTTATATTTGTATATTTTAGTTACATACAAATTTCGAAAATATTGCATCTTGCTTTATAATTTATAACACAGTTTACACCGTAAAAGATCTTTATATTAGTGTTTTATATTTAATGACACAGCTTTTATAAATATGTCAAGTTATAACCGGCGTAATAAACGATTTTCATAATGATTTTCCGTCAGTTTGATCGAAATTTATTAAATACGCTCTTGACGCGGGCTTACATGTATATATGTACATGTATATATGTATATATGTATATATGTATATATGTATATGTATATATACATGAAATTTATGAAATATAACATGCATTTAATGAGACACGACCTAATTAGCTAATTTGAACGTGAATTCACCGGTGAAAGTAATTGTTCGTTCTTTACATAGTGTGTTATATTTATCGTGAAATTATTTTTATTCGATTAAAAACGACAAACCGTGCGTCTTGTTAGAGAATTCCACACAAAAAAAATGTGAGGAGAATTGTTCGCGTCATTCATAAGCTTGAGTTTTATTCAAAGATGGACTCCTCCTCTCCGTCGCGTTGTCTGTCATGATTGCACTAAACAATGCAATGAGACAAAGCGACGAGGGAAAGAAAAAACGAGTTCGCACGTCAACGCGTTCTGATACGCACGCGTTGACCTCACCTGAATTGAATTTTCTACGATGTTCAGAAACGGCCGAGCACCGAACATCGCGTAAGAGATCGTCCGCTCAGACACGCGTCTCTATTTGCATAACAGAGGCGCGCTGCATAATGGAAATTGCCCGGCGTTGTATAACATTGCGTGCTTGCATCGCGCGCGCACGCTGCCCGCACGCCCACCTCGAGAAAGAGAAAGGAATTTCTCTCATTCGCGTGCTGACGAATAATTAGCAAGGCCTGCCCGTGACATGAAGTTTGAAGCTGTTGCCGACTGGGATATGCACAGCCGCTTTTACATTTTCCACATTCTTCAAGGTAGATCGGGGTCGCTAAATAAGAAATTATCGTGCACGAAGTAGCTATTTATATATAGCTAACGTACATATAACTTTTCCAATCACGTGGTAGTAAATCTCGTTTCTCCTTTCTCTCCTTCTCTCTCTCTCTCTCTCTTTCTCTCTTGACGATGTAACGTGAATTTTTCATTAATCTCTGTATGCTTTTGTTGCGATAGAAAGAGAGCGATAATCGCATGGGAAGACGTGGTAATTGCTACAGTTTTTAATACACGCGCGTGTGTAAACATTTAGTGTATTTTCATAGTAATATATTATTCCGCGCAAATTAGTCGTACGGGATTAAGTTTGGAACATGTTTTTTTCTCCGAAACCGTTTGCTACTTCTTGTCGATGTGGCAGAAGAGTTTCCTATCTTCTTCTCATTTATTTTTAGCAATATAACCTTTCGAGTAATTACACGTTCGTGTCGCTTCGCGTAAAGTAAAAGATTGATTACGAGTGTAACGCGCTTGACAATGAAAACGCATAAACTCCAATTGACTTTGTTTTGAGACTGTCAGTGGAGAAAAACATTCCAATTCTAAGCGCATCGATCCATTATGTGTATCGGGGAACAAATCCACGATAGCGATAGAGCGTCGCGATAAGAAGATTAGAATTTTGCGGGAGTTAACGATGTTTGTGTACGTGTTTGTTAAAAAAAAAAAAAAATGTAATCGCACGTTTGAATGCAAACTCACTTTTGCACAAATAATTTCCAAAATCTGTTACTTTTTCGACCGTCTGAATGCGAACGCAGTGTTTTAAATAAACATCTAATGGAAATTATAACGTAAAATATCACGTTTTTGCATTTATATTTTTCCTTCCGTTTGGATACAGTTATCGCGAAACGATTGCATATATCGCGTAGTCACTTTACAATATAGGTTGCTAAATAATAAATACGCGATTTATTTTATATTCAGTTTCGCCTCCATTTATTACGACATCGCGAAATCATCTATCACGCGTAAATATTGCTTTAAAACGCATTATATTTAGCACACAATACGCTTATCGTTTCAATGATAATAATGTGCGTATTATTCTGCGTGCATCGCAAAATATCTCAAATATTGTTCATTATTCACCAGAACTAAGTTACAACGTATGTTTGTTTGTTTGTTTGTTTTTTTTTGCTTTTTGTTTGAAGTAGTACAAAACGAGGAACCTCTCTCTTTGTAAATAATTATCACTAAATCAATATACGTTTGTATCATTTTTAATTGAGATGCATAAATATCGTTTCTTCGATACTTGTGATTTATTTCTGTCTATAGAATTGACAGTGATCAAGCTTCTCGCTTGCTTGACAGTTTTCTTTCTGGTCTATGCTCTATATCCTGTCACTTCGTCGACCACGTGTCATCGTTCTCTTTTCGGAGAACGTTCACCGGAGAAATCGAAGGCCGTACTAAGAATCGATGGAGCACCGACCTCTTCGAACCTTAATTTTTAATCCGCTAGCAGTTACCGAATAATGAGGCGGAATCACGATTGTGTGTAATATTCCTGATTGAAAGTTCGAATCTATCGACACGTCTGTGTGCGGGGGTGAGTGTAATGTGAAAAACATTCGTTCGATTTTATTCTCCGGGCAACTCGCATTTTATTTTTCGTAAAATTGCGAGCGCATTGGTTTTACTTTTTAGGTTGAGTTTTTTTTTTTTCCCAACTGCGAACTTGAGGCACTTCTATCGCACTTGCAATAATTCCAACTATTGTTGTTGCTAGAATTTTCTCTTTTTCAATGACTCTTATTTAACATCAGAGAAACGCGGATACCGAGCACGCAATTTATGTCGACAGTCTCTGTATGGTTTTATACTATTATTGGAAAGCAAACTGTATTTGACGTGCTCTATTGTCAAATAATTACCGTTATAATATCCTGTAATACACTGTACTAATAATAATAATATTATACTATCATTATTATTCACTGATCAATCAATAATTTTCCAGCTTCTGTAATATTCATGGGAAAATAAGTGAAATTTCGGAAATGTTGTACTAATTACTGTAATTAATTACGGTTGATCGTGAAATTTGAGATATTTCATTAATAAATTACTTTGAAATATTGTTGCAAATTTCACGTCTCTTTTATAATTAAAGGTCATGAATTATTCTTCTCTTGACAGTTCGGGGCCGAGCGATATAGAATTACTGTAAACCCCAACATGTGCTTCGTGCATCTTAAAATTCGCCGCTTCGTACCGTTCGGTACCTGTGCGCAGTTGTATACACAATATTGATCTGGACTACTCGCGATTTACTTATTCTACTCATCCGCATTGTTCTCGGTTCCGTTTGTAAAAATGTAAAATGAGGGAAATCGTATGCCCGATCCTCAAGTCTCTCATTCGATAAATCATCGGTCCGAGCAAGCTTGCTTCTATTCTTGGCATCTTTTTGCATCATTCCGCGGCGCGATTGCTATTATTCCCGGCTACGGTTCCGCTAACAATACCAATTAGCACTTCCATAAATTCGAGACTTTTTCCGTTTCCTCGCGAATAATACTTCTGTGTCACGCCACCATGTGCACTCCACAAATTCTCATTTAACCGTGCGCGCGGTTTTATCGTTATTTTAAGTCTTCGTTTTTGCACACCCAGGAAATTTACTAAAGCACCTCGCTTCTCGTTATACCTGCGTTTATGTGACTGTTAATAAGCATCGCCATTTAACTTCTTGCTCTCTGTGTGTCTCTTATATTTTTAATTTATTGTTTACGAATTACAGTATCTATCTTTATGTGATACAAATACATTTTATCGTTCGAGGTTTTACGCATGTTGTGACATTTTATATGTCAAGTGAATGGTAAAACGTGAAATCTTTTCACACGTTTTCGCATAATTGCGAACTATTTTTTAATAATGGCGTCTCTAAAATACATCGCGAACACTTTCCGTTTCTTCCGTTACTTCTGTGACGAATTTGTGCAAACCGATGTGTGCAAAGTTTAATCGTATATCGCTTCCCGAAGAACAACAATACTCGTGAGAGAAATTGCATAAACTTCAGTATCTCCCGCAATATACCTAGAAACTAGAACAACGCAATAAAAAGCATTAAAAAATACTGAAATGGTGGCACGACTTTATGAAGAAAGTTTCGCAAAATGGCATGTCGAGTTAAGTCAGATTTATGATATAACCATAATGGATGGTATACGAAGAGAGAGCTTCGCGTTTGGATGACGCGCTTCTCTTACGTGTTTTGCTGAGTGCATTTGTTTGCACACACTGCGAATAAATACTTTAGTATGCATTAAAGTTATCCGCGAATAAATACTTTAGTATGCATTAAAGTTATCCGCGAGACGCAATTTGTCGCGCACACTCTCGAGACTTTTTTTTGTTTTATTTCCCCGAAAAAGCTCGTCGCTAATTCTTCGGCAAGTCGGACGCTAATTTAAGTGGCTTGTGATATTCGCGCGTATGAAAGACTCTTGTATTTTTTTTTCGACGAACTTTCGACTAAGTACTTTGAATCACTTACCTTCGGACGAATGCAGCGTAACGAAGATCCACGCGATCCACGTGACAAGGATGGTGGTGATTATTGTCATACTGATTAGTTTCGAATGATTTTTTTGTCGTTTAACTTTCGTCACGTACACGCACTTGGTTACAAAACCCACGCGAGCCGGAGTCCAGATGCAGACTGACTTGTCGTACGGAGTCCAGCAGGAGCAACACGACACGCATGCGTCCTAGCTTCCACGTGCCTGTCTCTTTCGTGTCTTTACCAGTCACAGGGACAATTGTGATTTCCCGGACATCCTCATTCTATCTCGTTACCCAGTGGGAGTCGATGGGCGCATCTCCAAATATATCGTGTACAATGTCGTCTCTTTTATCCCACCTACGCGTATTTATCTCGTTTCTTGTGCGCGCAATCTTGTACACGGCGCAGTTCTCGCTTATATTATTACGCAATTTATTCTTGTTTATCACCGTTTCGTTTAATAATGTCCGACGACGAGCACTTGCGACGAGCGTGTATTTCGTACTTCAAACATACAGACAAGCCGAGAGATAAAATTGAATAGCCGGTGTGAAATACGTATTGATCTTTACTACAGAAAGAATTCTGACACTCGAAGCAATTCTGCAGCAATTGAGTCGCCGGACATCCTCATTCGATATCGTTTATCACCCGATATAACATCAAGTGTTGTTTTTCAGATTGTTTGTTTCCGTGTAATTCCGTTGAAGGATAATTTCACGTGCGAGTTCAATTGCGACGACTTTTAAAACGAAAGAATTCTTTAAGCACAAGTTACAAAAATCATTTTATTCAACAAAAAGTTTATATTATCGGAATATTTAATAAATTTCTTTTTATCGTTATTAATTTGTGCATTTGCTCGAATTGCGTCGTTCGGTAACCGCCGCTTTTACCGTCCGATGCCTACGTGCTTTTGCGTGCAGCGCAAATAAAACGATCCACACATAAAATAATAAATGCGAAAATTGCGAGCTGATTCTTTTTTTGGACTTGACAAAACCGGATTTTATCGGATATAACAATGAAGCTATCCGGTTTATGTCATATACAAACGTGTAATATTGTTAGCTCGAATCTCCGTTGCAGCAATACGAAAACAAAAAGTCAAATTTCCGCGATCCTTTCGGAATCCCATTGCTCTACTGATTCCACATATTCTCTCTCTCTCTCTTTCTCTTTCGCGTCGGGAAAAGAGTGTCAGGCATCGCTCATTGTTCTCGAAATTAATGCCAGAAACCGCAACTCAGCCTTTGCAAACGGTAGCCGCGGCGCGCACACGCTTTGATAACGCGAGAGAGATGTACGGGAACAGGGGGAAACGGAATGGAAATAATTCGCCAAGCTGTTGAGGCAGCCGGAATTAGTATAAGCCGTTAGAGGTACGTCTCCGAGTCTCGGGCGTGCGTGTGGCAACATTTCTTCTCCGAGGAGAACGGGGAATAAGGGAAGAAAAAAAGAAAAAAAAGAAAAAGAGAAAGAGAGAGAAGCAAGAGAAATATGCAGAAGACGCAGATACGGTCAGAAAGAAGAAAAAAAGAAAAGGCGCTCTCCGAAAGTGAGGAAGAGGAGCGAGACATGAAGATGCGAGAGACCGACGCGGGAAGTGAGCAAACATATTCCATCGAACGAGCATCGTTAGCGCCGAGATTCAGCAGCCTTCGACTTCTAGCGCGTTTGATATGAATTTTTCTCCTTTTGCCGGCGGGCATTAAGCGGCGCGTTTTTCGTTTAGAGGATCACCTATGTGCCGTGAAGAGAAAAGAGACGGGCAGCCAACGAGGTGGAGCCGCGCGTTCGAAACGAGGAAGTCAAACGAGAAAACTTCGCGGATTAAGCGCAATCAAGTACCGATAATTCCCCGGTGAATCGTGTCTCTCTCTTTCTCGTTCTCTCTTCCCACGCTTTCTTTCTGCCTGCAGCAATTCGAAAGGGACATAGGACGAAAAGGAAGAATATCGGTTTAGAGAGAGGGAGAAAACTCTCTTCGCGTGTCCCAGCTCGAAGGAAAACCGAATTGTTCGGATTGGATGCCGTCGTGTTCGCAAGCAATGTTATCTCTTATCCGCCATCGACGTCCCGCGAAAGCACCCGCGGGCGTTATCTACCGAATTAATCGGGAAGTTCCTCGTCGTGGAGCCCTTCAACTATATAACATTAATTTTAATATCAATTCGACAAACTCGTGTCTCATTTTCCTTGATGGCGTACGTGGCTTCCCGGGTGCCCGCGAATTAATACGGCGCGACATATAGCGCGGTAAGTTGCGAAATGAAGTACAAATTGCGCCATCCGTTACTTGACAATTTTTTGTCGCTCAAGCAGCGAAGCTCTAATTTGATTTGTTACCAGGCAGTCGAATATCATTACTTTCTTTTCTTCATTATTATTACAATTAGAGAATATAGTATATATATGTCAGTCTAAATATGATTTATAACACAAGAACTCCACACAAATTTATATTTGGAAACTAAACCCACGAGGACCAATTAAATTTTAATGTTGGAAATACGCTATATAGCGTGCCTTAAAGAATATGTTTGCATTAGACACTAGTTAATTAAATTAAGCTATACTGTTATGCATATAAATGGGATTTCACTACGTCATACAAGCGAAGTGCATGTATCTAGCATATATGTATGCATACATGCATACATATATCGCGCTTCTCGTACCATAGCCCTCTCTATTTCAACGTAAATGTAAAGTAACACATTTTACTGAATACAAATTTAGATCAACTGATTTTTGACTGTACACGTATTTCTTGTACCAGTAGTAAACTTTTGTGTAACAGAGGCTACTTGAATTTATTTACAAAATCTTTCATAAAAAAATCCACGTGACTAAAGTAAGGTCGCGTGACAAGGAAGAGTTGTCATTCCGTTAAAGGTCAATGACCTCTACCGAAAGGTCAATGACCTTTTGTATATATATATATATATATATATATATATATATGCCGGTGTAATATATACAATATTATACATATTTGTTATAAACAATATCACGTATGTAAAACTTAATACTTGCATTAAGTATACACTTAATATCGCAGTAGTAAGCAATAAAACAAGCGCGCCGAAAGTGAAATATGAAATTTGCTTCGCAACTAAACCGGTTCAAAATTACCAATATAGCAACTGGCGTCGTCCTTATTCTCGAAGACAGACTACGAAACAGTAGCGCGCAGATTTTGCCGTTCAGCGAATCCTGTAAACTGCGCGATAATGAGGCTAATAATTCGCGCGTGGAAGCTTCTCACGTTCTGATGTAATTCACCCGCCGCGGGTACAAATGGCTCGTAACACCCCGCGCCGTTAATGTTAATATACAACGCAGACACGCACATACACTCTCACAGCATTAGATTTCTAATTCTAATAAATCCCGCGAGCGGGGCGTGCCTGCTTAGATTGCGCTCTCGTGAAATAACGACGAACAAACCCTGTAATTCTTTAACGAACAACCCGTACGTGAACGCGGGCACAAGTCACGCCGCGCAGTCAGGCCGTTCAGCGTGCGCGAGCGGATATTTGGAAATAGGGCAGAGGTTATGTCCTTAAAAATATATCTATAAAATAAGATAAGATAAAAAAAACCATGTCAGATCAGAGTGATTTGAAATGAACCAATAAATTATTAAGTGGCGTCAGGCGCACACAGCTTGAGTTCGTTAAAAATATTCTTCTCATAATGAAATAATTTTTGCGACAAAACGATCGAAATCTTTTGTTATCTATTATTGACTTAAAAGAGTGACGTTTGAAACCTTAATGATTCTCTGAAGCTTTCTAGTTTTAGTTTGTGTGTGGGAGCGCCCACTTTCGGATTATATTTGTTTGGTTCATATGCGAAAAAAACCATTTCTATTATTAAATTTATTTTTTCCCGCTAAGTTATCGCAGAAACTTTATTACTACTTGTTACGCAGGTTATATATATAGTTTATATTTCGGCACTCTATTTTACATCGTGCTGCGAAACGTAACAATATTCTCATATATAATAATTAATTACTTGATAAATTAAACTTTCAATATGAAATTCGTTAAATTTGCTAAATCCGATTTCACGTCACGCTTAATTTTAATACTTGAACACTTGCTTTATCAAATTGTATTTAAAATTTTGTTTATAATGCGGAAATGTTTTTGAATTTCTACTTTTAATATAAAATATATTACATCTATAGAGAGAAAGAGAGAGAAATTATTTTATATTCTAATTTATATATATACATATATATATATATGTGTGTATGTGTGTGTTTTAATATTTGACAGAGAGATCTGGAATTTTATTCGGCATGAATAAAGTTTTACATTTGTCGTTTTGCGCGGAGAATGTCACAACGCTCTTCAGAAATCATCTCGGAAGCATTTCTCCGCGTTTTAGGCCTCAGCTACTATTGCAATCACGTGTTATTGTTTTCGTGCGGTGCCTTGTGGTATATGCGAGCGATACATCGAGTGGTTGTGCAAGACAGTCGCATAGATAGGAGACAGCGATAAAACTGTATCGAGGTAGAAGACGCACGGAGCTTCGGTCTCGATTCTCTTCTGCACGAACTGGGGAGGCTGACGGCACCGAGTTATCTCACGAATTCCTGTCCCGTAATCCGGCATTTATACACACGCACGTTGCATACAGATCCCGGTCGGGTCTTCAACCGCGAATTCTCGAGGTCTCTTTGATTACACGTGCGAACGTAAAGCTCTTTTCGCATCACGTCGGTCTCGTTTTCAGTCTCTCTCGATTTGACGCCAATTATCTTCGAGCGGGACGTCCCGATCGCAGCAATAATCTAATAGTATTGCGTGTGTCAAAATATTCAATATTATGATTGAAAGTCGAGAAAGAGAACTGCATAACTGCGCGTTCGTATTGTATATTATTTCCCTAATCACATAATTGCCCGCCCAGTTTCTTCTCTTTTTCGATCTTCTCTGCGCAACCGCATTCCTCATTATCTCTGTATTATTTTATGACAAATAGCGAAGTAATTTTAGTGAGGTAATATACGTTTCGTTATTTTAAACGACTTCTGCGGATTAAAAGCGCAAAAAGTTCCCACAGTTTGAAATCGAAACGTCTGAGACGTTTCACGGCAATTCCGCGCGCTGTCGTATTTCCATGAAGCGTGTCACTTAACGGCGAGAGCGCCTTAAAGTTTTAAGACGACAAGTCGACGGAGGAAATTAAAGCACTTTTCAGGGAGTCTACCACACGGTCCCCGTAGAAGTAGCTAACGAAACAAGTGGTTAATGAATTATTGAAAGAGCCGTCTGCATTAGCTTTTTGGTTCTTTTCACTAAAAACTCCTCCGCGCGCTGCCGAGGCGAAATCGTATAATCGCGTAGGGAAACAGAACTCGTCTCTCTCTCTTTGAGAGACT